CCAAAGCTGTCCCCTGGGGTGCTGGAGGAGGGCTGCTGGCCTCAGCCTGGGCTCTGTCCTCAATCCTGGGCTCCCCAGCCCTCTCAGGGGGGCAGGTGATGGATGCCAAGCTGCTTTGGGGTGAGGCCAGCGCAAGCTCACTCCTTGCATTGCATCCCCTTGAAAGGGCGGGCCTGATTCTGCACTGCACTGGCTGCAGAGAGCCCCAGCAGCTGTGCCGGTGGGCTCAGCCCCAGGGCAGGGAGGTCCCTGGGGAGCTCCTTGCTGTGCTTTTGCCCCCCACTACCCCAGGAGATTGGTGATGGCCTCTGCTGAGGGCACTGGAAGGAGGCACTGCTGGCAGGACACGGGAGGAGGAGGAAGAGCAAGCTGCAGAACAGCCACGGCAGCAAGGGCTGCCCCAAGCACGATGCTCTTCAAAGTTTCTCAAGAGGCCTCAGCCGCTCTTTCAAGGTTTGTGTTAAATCTGTCACATTAGCGAAAATAGTGAAAATTACCCAGCTTGTTGAGGAGATGAAAGGCAGCCCCCTTCGATCCCTCCATAAAGGAAGGGCCCCATTAACACCTAGTGAAATGTTAGCCATTAATCAGGCTCTGTGCAAAATAAAACCATCCACATTTATCATTATTGGATCCTTAATGAAGTGATAATGGGAGTGCTGGGGAGCTGTGATATTAATGTCTCCTAAGAGGCAAAAGCAGAGCCAAGGGCGTCAGCCAAGATTTTTAATTTACTGCCAAAAGCTCACGCTGTTAATAACGCAGTTACTTCTCCCGGCCATTAGCACTGTGGCTATGAGCAGCTCGCTTAGGAGAGCAAATCGACCCCAGACGTGCCCGGGCTTTACTCACCTACTCCCCATTCAGCAGCTGGACATGCTTTTCCCAACAGCTGCCCCTGTGTCCCCTGCCCACGTACAGGGATGTGGCCAGGGAGCTGTCGGCCATCTCCTTCATGGAGGCTGGCTGGCATAGAAAGAGTTTTGCTTTTCCAATGAAAAGAGTAGGGACTGGCAGCACCAAAACCAAGCAGCTCTTGTTGTCCTCAGTCTTTCTGTGACTTATCTCCTTAGGTGCAAGCGCTCCGCAGACAGGATGGTATTGAGCTGGTCCCAGCACGGCCTGCACACGGGGATCGCTTGCTGTGACCACAGTCATGCTCTGGGTTTCTTTATTTGCCCAGGTGTGCTCACACGATGCTAATACCCCATCCAGGCCAGCGCAGGCAAGCTGCAAAGCCCTGCTCAGCTGTGGTGACTCACTCAAGTTTCTGATGGAAAAGTCATTTCTCCTGGCAGGCTCCTACAGCCCAGAGGCAAATGGGTACTTGGCAGGTAAGCCATGCTGTTGCATCTTTAGATACAACTGTTATCTCACAAATCCTTGCAAAAGCTGACCAGTGTGGCCCATATGTATGCTGGCTCATGCGTGGGGTCTTCTGCTGCGAGCAAAGGGACTGCAGGTCAGAGGGAGCTGGCTTTGGACTGGAGCAGTAACAGGCAATTTTGTGCTGAGCATTGTCCAGAGGAATGAAACGATGCCTTGGTTGTAACGGGTGCACACAGGCCAAAGCTCCTTTCCTCCCTAGGCAGAAGATGCACAAGGTCCACCCAAGCAATCCCTCAGAAATGGAGCTTCGATCTATCCAGGCAGAAGCATCTGAAGAGGAAAAATGTTTCTGTAACCTGGGTGTCCTTGCTCAACCTCCCTGTGTCCTGTTATCTCCTCCTTAGAAAAGGAGGACAAAAACCATATACGGAGGCCAAGCAAATGCAGATGTGAAGTGCACTTCAAACAGCTCCATCCTTTCAACAAACCTTCTATTAGCCTTTTCTCCTCCCCAGCACAAACTCTTTTTAATCATTAGTGAAAAGCCACTGTTTAGAAAGCAAGGACACTGCTCAGGGTACATGTGGTGTTAGCAGCATAGGCATTTCCCAGGAGAAGCCAGCGAGCCCTAGCCCAAGGTCTTCTGAACTTGACTGTCACGCTGCGCAAGCAGCAGCTCCAAGGACTGGCATGGCACTCGGCAACGTGGCGGGGCCATGGGCAGAGCACAGGGGTACAGCAGGCCCAGGCTGGCATGCCAGACCTACTGCTGAAGATGCCAGTGACCCTTCTGCCAGCCCGAAACTGGAGTTACTCTGGATTTCACTGGAGCAGAACTGGACAGGAAGCATTAACAAAGCTTTGGAGCCAGATTTAGCCCATCATCCTGGCTGCTGCCTGTACTTTTTGGCTGTATTGCTGCTTGTGTTAGTGCCCCCGCGGTGCTGGCGTGCCGGGCACACAGCAGAAGCCAAGTGCTCTGAAACCTGCTGATGACCTCCGGAGCAAAACGCACAGCACAAAGCAGCTTCTCCTGCGCAACCACCACCTGACGTTACTGGGGCAGAGCAAGCTTTACAACATTTGGCAGGTTTCTCCCAGCAGACCTCAAAGCTGTTTGCCAGTGTGAGCAAGCTCGGGCATGTTACGGAAGACCTTCAGACTCTGAGGACAAATGAGATGCATGGATGAGTTTGAACCACTGGGGTAAGACCAGGGATCTGAAATCCTCAGGCTTGTGCCTTGACACTATGCCTGGGCTGAGGCCCAGACAGTCCAGCTGCCAGCCTGGCATCGATACTGGGCCCCGTGATGGTCCTGCTGATATCCCTGCTTGTTAGATATTGGCTTTGAAACCAAAGCAGGAGGTGTCGCATCCTCCTCAAAAATCCACCCTCCGATCCATCTTGAAGTTGGGTGCAGAACGACTGTTCAGTGAGACACGACGACTCGTGTTGGCAGGACGGTGTATTTATGTCACGAGATGAGATCAGCCACATGGAGTAGGTCGGTCTGTCTGGAAAGAGTCTGAGTCAAGCGTGTCCTATTAAATTAGGGCTGGATTTTCAAAGGAGCTCAGCTCCCACTTAGGCTCTGTAACAAACAGGCAGATATTCAAAAGGAGTTGGACGTGTTGGGTCATTGTGGCTGCTGAGCTGAAGTCCTTTGAATATCCAGCCAAAACCATCACTGTGCCTGTTGCTACAGGCAGAGCCCTTCTGAAATCCAGCCCCACTGTGGGCTCCTGGTCCTGGGAAACCTGGTTCATCTCTGCTCTCCCATATATTGCACTGCAGTAGGTGATGAAACCACGATAACCACTGTGTCTTTATATATGCAGGGGAGCGGCTCCCTGTCAAAGCATAGCTCTGGCAGCTTTGCCCTTTGATCAGCTCAGCAGTATGGGTCAGGAGAGCTGAGCATGAAGGTTTCCTTGCCTTTTGTTTTGTGGAATTAGCAGAGCTAATCGGAGTGACAGCGACTTCTGCCTTAGCACAGAAGAAAGGTCAGTGGCTCAGGCTGGATGCATGACTGTTTTCTAGGCAGCTGGAAAACAACAGCATGAAAGCTCGTAGTGTACACACTGCTGGCATGGAGGCTCTCCTGACAGTGATCAGCAGGGAAGATGTCCCTGTGGAGGGAAGGAGGCTGGAGAAGGACTCCACTCGGCTGGCTTGCCACTGCACCTCATTTGTCCTCTTCCCCTATGCTGCGCAGCGAAGGTATCCCACCCTCTGCGTCACTGTGCTCTGCTTTCATGTCACGCGTCCAAGATGAAACACTGCTCTCAGCCAGTGTGCTCCTTAGCCATGCTGCTGGGTGTGCATCGTGCTGGGCTCAGGGTCTCTGGGGTCTTCTGCGTTGCAGGGCACTGTGCTGGCATGTGGAGCCGGTGCTGGGTGTCCCCTTCCCACTGCAGCCTCCCAGCACCGCCACGTGTCCAGCCAGGCAGGCCTTGCTATTGCTTTTATGTCCTTCAGTCACTGCAATGCATGTCTGAACCTGCGCAAGCCCCCGGCTCAGCTGCTCTTGAGCTGGGGGCACTAGAGGTGCAGTAGCTGCAGTGAGAGCTCTCCCTGGCAGCCATACCAGGACCTTGCTTTCCCCACGGCTTTTAACTATAGCTGAAACAGTCACAGCAGTGGTGGCTCATGGCAGAAGTGTTAAACCTGGCCTCTGTGTCCACAATGTGACCTCTTACCTTCCTCTGATCACAGTTACAAGTGCTTGCTTTTGCTGTGGACATCCACTCGTGTCTAATTAGTGGAGTCTTTCTGTCAATGACCTAGCATCCTCAACAGCAAGCCTTAATTTAAGCAGTTTAGAATTGTCTGCAGTGTTGATGCCTTCATTTACTCCCAGTCCTAATTAAATGCATCTGGATATCTGCAGAGGGAGCTCTCACGATGTCTCCATGGCTCTAATTAAAATGGCCTGGATGTCCATGACGTTGGTGCCTGTCAAGCCCGTCACCAGGAGGTGATGCCCACCTTGGAACTGGCTGAAGAACGTATAGGAATCATTGTTGCTGAGAAAGGCCCTGATGTCGAGGCCCTCCTGCAGTGCCTCATCCACCAGCTCTGGGCTGCAGAAGGCCCCCGCTGCCTCTGTCGGCCCATCCTGCCCGTCTGTCCCACCGCTGAGGAAGACAATCTCGCACCTCCCTCGAGGCCCGCTGACCTCTGTGGCCTGTGCCCTGTGCAGCCCCAGCCCCACGCGCAGGGCCAGCTCCTGGTTCCTCCCTCCCTTGCCGGTTCCTTGAAGCTGAACCGTGGTTTCTCCACCAGCCAGGATGCAGATTGGTCTTTCAGGCCCTAATCCTCGCAGGCCCTGTAGAAACTCAGCAAGGTTCAAGTCTGGGATCTCTAGCTCTGCCACCAGCTGCAGGAGATTCCCCCTCACTTTGTCACCCAAGGGCCCGTCTCCAAGGCCGGCGAAGCCCAGGCAAGCCAGCCGGATCAGCTGGCAATACAGCGTGGCGACATGGCTGACTTCCCCGCAGATTGCTGTGCTCAGAATCAGAGTCGCATAGCCCAGGCCCTCAGCTTGGCGTTTGGCCTCATCTAAAGCCAGCGTGTTTGACCCAATGATGATGTTGCAAACATGGGAGTAGTCTTCCGGAGCAGCGGGCTTGCTGGGAGAGCTGGACAGGACTGTCTCCACTGACTTGGGCAGGTTCTGCAGCAGGTTGTATTTGGTGAGTATCTGAAGGCAGTCTTGGACACTGTGGGAGCTCGCAGCAGTGGGCCCACTCGCTATGATGTCCAGGGGGTCACCAATCACATCAGAAAGGATGAGGCTCACCACCTACCGAGAGGAACGTCTGCAGATTATTGTGGGAGGCAGAGACAGGTGACCGCACAAGAGCCCTGGCATAAGCGCTGCTGAGTTACACTTGTGCCACCCCCATGTCAAAGCAGATGGAAACAGGGGAAGATCTTGGCCCATTTTTGTTTTATGGTCCTGTAAGAGTCACCTTGCCCTTCTTGAACCCACAGATCTACAATGTCCTTTGATGCTGGGCCATCACACTGGGAGATGTAACCCGTGACGCTGCACTTGTCAGGCTGATAACCTAGTGTGGTTTCAGTGATGGCATGTGCTGAGAACGGTCCCCAGGGGAGCCAAGGCTCTGACCCATTGTTGAAAGCGCTGTGGTGGACCACCAGCACATCAGAAATGCCTGCTGGGTGAGGGCTGGGGTCTGCTGAGAGTGGTGTGATGGGACGGCTGACATTTGCCAGGTCTGAATTCCCCCTTCTTTACCTCTGTCTCCCTGAGAGTTTGGGTCCCCAGTGAAATTTGAGCTGGAGACTCACAAAACTGTGCAAAGGTTGTTCACTCCTTTCTATCCTTTTAAGGATAAAACCCCTGCAAGTACATTTAGGCTAGTTGATTAAGCCCCTATTCTGAGGGCAGATGGATGACCTCCAGGCAAGCATGGGCTTTCTCTCAGTTACCTGTGCGGGATATGCGAGCCGGGCCAGTCCTCCACCTTTCAGCAAGGACAGTGTCTTCCGGACAATGTTAAGCTCCTGTATGGTAGCTCCTTGGGAAGCCAACATCTTTGTGAGTTTCTCCTTCTCTTCGAGGAGGATGGGAGGGATGGGAGCAGGCAGTAGGGCGGATCCCCCCCCTAGGATGCAGAAGAGAGGGCAAGGACATCAGGACAGCAGTAAAAGGAGGACAGGAGGAAAGCAAGGCTGTTCAACTCTTGAGCCTTTCGTCTTCCCTCACCAGTGCATGGAGGCAAGGCAGAGGTGGTCAGGGAACTATGCTAACATCTCTGGAGAACTCAATCTTCTTCACCAGTGGGTTCTTATCACCAATGCCCCGCACTGTCTGCAGTCAGCTACGCTTCACCCAGGCAGTGCAAACCTCACCGAAGCAGGGTACCACATGCCTGCAGTGTTGCAGGAATGACAGAGAAGGGCCAGCAATTATTGTCCCCACTACATCAGGCTACTGGTGTGCTGTCACACTGATTTTCAAGAGCTAGCTGGATGGGTGAGCAGGGAGCACGGGCTCCATGTCTCACACAGCAGTCAGTGTTAAGCAGATGGAGACATTGCCTGTTTTGCTGGCTCCATTTATACAGGACTGTGTAAAAACACCAGCTATGGCTGCAGCAAGATTGGAAACTACTGAACTGGACTCATCTAGGCCTGGGAGGAAAGGAAAGGGGGAGAGAGTAACACAAGGGACAAAGCACACCTGGAGTCCAGGGTGATAGCCTCATCGATGGGAATCCTGTCTGATACAAGCAGGCATCGGAAAAGTGGAAAAGAAGGCAAGAAAAAATGTTATAATGGAAAAGTGGAATGGATGGAAAATACAGAGTAGAAAAGCGCAAGATCTCAGCAGAGACTGAATGTGCACAGAAGTACAGCTGAAAGCTACTGTTAAAAGGCAAAGCCTGCTCCGAGGTTTGAGACAAATCAGCATCAATAAAACATGATGAGCAAGAAAAACAAATGCAAATGCCTGTGTCTCAGTCAATAGTCAGGGATCTAGCTGAGAGGCAGGAGCAGTCGGGGACCGGCTGCTGTGTGGGAGTGCAGAGGCACAGGGAGCCACAGGCGCGGGAAGATCGTGTGCAGGCTTCCCGAAGGGCTGAGGAGTCTCTTGGAGATCCCTGTAGCCGAAGGACAGGAGGAAACCCAGGGGAATCCCCAGCAAGCACAGCTAGATGCCAGCTGCTTGGGTGTTTGCCTAATGGCACTGTTTTCTCTGCACCAGACTGGGCTGCAGCATCCATAGAGGAACCAGAGGAAAAATCATGGAGCAGAGGAGACCAAGGGGTTTCTAAGGAGCTGCTCCAAAGCCCTGCATGCTTTTGCCCTGCGACACCCACTCACCCAGCTGAGCTCAGGCTGGGGTGACATCACTGCAACCCTCTGATGCACAATATCCACCTTCTTTACGCAGCCCTGGGGCCCAGCAGCCAGGGCCTGGGGGTGTTCAGGGCTGATGCTGCAAGGTGTGCAGCTCACCATGTTGGAACACGGGGACTCGTTTCCACTGGCCCAGAAGCAGCAAAGCCTTGGGAAAGGTCAGCCCCGAATCTCAGCTTACAGATTCACACCCCTGCACAAATTCAGAGCATGCAAGTCCACCAAGTCCTTGCTTCTCCAAGTCTGCCTCCCCAAATATAAGGAGCGGGCAGGAAGAAAGCATCTTCTTGCCAGGGGGTGAGAGCAGCTGGCAGGCTGTGCCCAGAGGTGCCATCTCACAGTGGTGGCACAACTGCAGGACCCAGCCTGTGCAGCTCAGCCTCTCCCTAGTGCTCGGAGGCAGCGTGTCACTGCAGCAGCAGGCAGCTCTGTGCCCTCCTCAGCTGCATCCCTGGAGAAAGGCTGGTGGGAGAAGGGAGAGGAAAAATCTCAGAGGTGCAAGTGTCAGCGCTGAAAGGGCCAGCACAGCGCTCCCCTGCTGCACAGCCACATGTGGGCAGGCGGCTGGAAGGGCCATCAGCAGAGCCCATTCCCTGGGATCCCCACGCTACCTGAGATGAGCACAAGGAGCAGGTCGTCCACAGTCAGACCCTCAGCCAGCTCCTGGATGGCAGCTGCTCCCTTCAGAGCCTCTAGGTCTGGGAGGTTGTTCCTGGCACCTTCGATGACCTGGATTTTGCTGTGTGGCTTCAGGAGCATCTCCCTGGTGAGGTAAGAGAGGCAATCACACCACTGACACGGGCACCTGCACAGGCAGCCAGGCTGTCACTCAGCAGGGAAACGGGACTGGTACACCAGAGGTGCACGGCGAGTGATCAGGACAGGGAGGTGGTCTTCGCTGAGTGTCTCTTCCCCAGGGCTAGGAAAGCAGTGCATCCAGCACAAGAGAAGGGCTGTGTCACTGGTGTCACTGGGATGTGATGGTGGTTGAAGACCAGGGCTGTGTGGTGGATGGGGTGGGAACCAGAGTGACGGCAGCTGGAAAGGACTGAAGGGGTTCACAGCAATTAGTGGCACATTGATGATCCCCCGAACAAGGTGGTCTCCCAGGATCTCTTCTGCTGCCACAGCCATCCCAAGCACAGCTTTGCCAAAACCCACCAGGTACAGGTGCCTCTTCACTGGAAAGGCCCAGCCCTTCACCAGCAGCTGAGGGCACCCGTCTCTCTGGAGCTTCACAGCCCTCTTCAGCATCAGAGCCGGACGGACGGTGCCCACCGCGCTGCGGAAGAGGGACATTGCATGCTCACGGAGGGACATGCTGCCCAGGGCGGCCAGGCTGAGTCGCTCTGCTCAGTGCGGTGGGCTTGTGCACACTCTGCTGACACTGGCAAGGCCTGAAGAGCCTGGGCAGCTGGCACGCTCCAACCTGCAAGGGAAAGCAGACATTTTTGCTAGCAGAAGAGACAGGGTTGTTACAGAGAGCAGGGAGAGCAAAACATGAACCACGGAGCTCTAGTTCTGAGATGAAGGTGCCGTATCAGAAGCATTTTTGAACCCCTCCCCAGGCAGGAGGGAGGGAAGGACAGTGTCACATTCAAACTACCTGTCAGCTTGTGGTTCCCCTGCAGTCCCGTCACCTCCCGCAGGGAAGGCAAGCCCTGCCAGCCAGCTTCTCCATCACTGTAGGTTTGCCATTGGCAAGCCATCATTTCTATTTCCTCAGTGTTTTGACGTCTTTCCAAACTGTGGAAGCTGCTCTCTGTCCTGGAGAGAGCAGGGCGTCTGGTTGGAAGAGCTTTTCACTACATTAACTCTCTTCCTCGTGTTAGCCAAATGCTGATCTCATTCTCTAGCTGCACATTGTCCCATGTGTCCCTGCAGCATCAGGCATGGACTTTGGAGAAACAACAGGCTTGCTGACTGCCTGATCCCTTCCTGCTGGTGGCCACAGAGAGACCAGTAATGAGGCTTCCCAACCAAAGAGCAAATTAACACAGGGCTTCATTTGGCTTTATTTTTAGTCTTCTCATTATCCATTAAAATCACATCTAGAGCCCAAACAGGACTAGGCAAAGTTGCCAGCTGAGTCTGTGAAAGCCTATTTGAACTAGTCTCCACTCAGTATTAGCATTATATGCAAGAGAGATGAGGGTGGACCGAAAGATCTCAACTGCTCAAGGGCAGACACTTGTCTTGACAGAGGACAGGCAGCCCCTGCCAGCACACATGCATCTATTCCCTCCCAGCATTTCGCCTTCCCTCCATTAACTGGCAGCAAGTTCACTGCTGGTTTCTCAGGATCAAAGATCCTTGTGATCTGCATCTCTCCCGCTCATGGCAATTATGGTGCAGGCAATTAAGGCAGGGTGCCAGGAGGCTGAGGCAGCTCTGGCAACACACTGGATCACAGAACCATTCAAATTCCCTGAGAGAGTTAATCGTCTCTAGTAAACGGATGTGTTTCAGTGCAAGGCCAGTGGCTGGCTTCTTCTGGGAGAGCTCACGAGTCCAGAGGTCTCTTTGTCCTATCACTCCCATAGCATTGCAAGGTGTTAATCATTAAGCCAGCCAAGCCTTCCAACAGCTCCTCTGGGTCTAAGTCTGCCTTATTTTGCTGCAAAACCCCAAAGGCTCTGAAAACCTGCACACAAGCACCTTCTCAGGCAATGAAACTTGGGCACACTCTGAAATCTATCGGACAGGGGACTTGCAGGTAAAACTATATTGAGAATCACAGGTTTGCCGGAGAAAAAAATTATTCAATGCTTAGGAGAAACAGATTTTAAAGGCAAAACCCAGGGCAGATAAATTACCTATCTACACTCCCTTTAGACACTGGTCAGAAGGACCGGCTTTTCAATCAGGAGGACAGATAAGAATAAAAGACAGGGTGCCCTGACCACTTTGTTATTGGAGTCCTAAACTCCACGGCAGCTGGTGCTGCCAGCAGTTTAAACCACTGCGCCTCAGCCTTCTTACAATGAGGGCCAGAGTAACAGTGCTAAAACCAGTGAAGTCAGTTGTACACCTCTCAGGAACTGAGATTAGCATCTCTGTTCCCAGCAGGTCACTGATTCACCTGGCAGCACAGCGCAATCAGAGGAAGGTGTTACAAAACAGAGGTGCATCACGCCCCAGGTCGCCTTGTCTGAGCTGCACTACAGGGTTTGCAGAAGTGGTTGGAGAAAAAGGCTTAAATGGAGCCGGGGGAGTTTAAGAAAGTAAAGCCCCAAAGCTTTTACCAGGCTCTGTCTCTGCCTTGATGTGTCTGTGCACAGCTGACCCTGAAGACCAGTGGAATTGAGCACAAACAGACCCGCAACTGCAGCTTCTGTCACACGTACCCTCCTGGCGGCTCCGCTCAGCTCCAACTCCAGACACGACACAGCAAGCGCGAGTTGTTTAAAAGCAATCCTCTCCTACTGGAGCTGAAAAAAATAAATGCCAGCTTAATTCATCTAGCACTTGTGTACATACTGCTAATGCTTGCTCTGGAAAGCATTTCACTACAATAGCAGGCATGTAATCTGTTTTCTGCACTCTGAACTCAGATTATATTTTAACCACCAAGGCCTGATCCAGAGTCTGTTGAAGTCAGCATCCCTCTTCCCATTGCTTCTAAGGATTTTAGGGCGTGCCGCCAGCACAGGAGCCTTGACACTGATCTCAGTGCACAGGTGTAAATGCAGAGTAAATCTGGTGTAAAACTACCTTGCAGTCAGAGGTTATCCAACTTTACACCAGCGCAAGAGAGAGCTGAATTTGGCACAGACTCATTCGTTTTGGAGGTCTCAGTGTGTAACTCTGCTCCTTGTCAGCTCTGATTAGACAAGCAGGCTCACTGGAGGCTCCCCTTGGAATGGGGGTGCTGCTAATCACACCACAAATCCATTTTTATGCTATTTATTTATACAGTCTCAGGGACTGGGTACTAAACGTCATCAGGGAACAGCTATAAATCAATGGTATGAAATCCACTGTAGATATTAACAAAAAATAAAACTCCTACTCATTTTACTAGGGCTTTGAAAAGAAGATCAAGAGAACTGAACATCACCCCATACAAGGCATAGGCAGCCTTGGAAAGAAAAATAATCCAAATGGCAGCTCTCAGACTACCTCAACAGACAGTGGGTCTAGAAATGATGTAATTGCCAGTTAGCTGCTGTGTATTGCACGTGGGGAAATTACATCCTCACATCCCTGCATTTTCCTCTTCCCACTCCTGGCTGGGAGGAATCTGGGCTGGGAGAAGGGGCTGATGATGTGACTCATATTGCTGCACACACTAATCTTTGTTCCCCAGTTTCGCAGGGAAATCGCATAGGGATGAACGAGCCCTCTTCTATGTGGACATAAGATGACATGCTATAGGCACTAGTGAGGTTCAGGTTTTACACCTTCCCTTTCTCCTGGCTCCAGATAATTTGGAGTTGGGGTATACGTAGTCTTTTAGAAGGTTTTCTAGAAGTTCACACTAAACTTAGGAGGAAAATGATGCTAAGAATTGCCTGTTCCAAAGAGACCAGGAGGACTGTAAGGGGCTTAGATTAATTCCCTTTAAATGAAAACTTCCTCAGCTTTCATCGAGGAATAATGTCCACCATCTACATGCTTGTTTCCATGCATTACCTTTATAAGCTCTTTCTTCATAGGGCTCCTCCTAAACCTGAAAATTTCCACTGTTAACTCTCACAACAAAAAGCAGCAAAATCCCAGTTCCTCATTTTCACCATCTCTGGGAAAGAGGGAAGGAGAGGAGCTGGACTGTGATAAAATACAGGCAGAGCGCTCGTTTGCATTACCTTTCATTAACTATTTAATTAAAGCAATTCTGCAGGCAAGGAGCCAAAGTTAGAGGGAGAAGGAAACAATCCAGCACTAGGGGCAGAAATGTGGTAAGCTGCCAGGTAAATTGGATGGTGGCATGAGACCAAAAGCATTGACACAGAGGGTCCTAGTCTGAGCCACAAACTCGGAGTCACACTGGGCAAGAAAACAGTGAACAAATCAGCTGGCCATGCCCGTGCAGTGAGAAAAATGAGCCAGCATCTCACTCCCTGGCAGGTATTTGAAAGCCAGAAAAATATTCCCTTCTAGGGACTAGTCTGCCATCACTGGGCAGAGCTGAGCTAGTCTGGGTGCTGTGGCTGGAGGTTTGTTCAAGGGCTTGCATCACAGGTCTGTGGTTGTCTTGAAGTTGGGGCAATTTTTGCAGGCCAACCCAACCACACAGCCCGAGCATTTCAGGTGCTGCAAGATCAGAGGATGCTGTATATTAATGCTCCAGGATGTCTAATTTAACCGAGATCTTCAGGGGTCTAAGGTAGTTTATTTTGAATTTCAGCAGG